TTCCATTTCAATTTATTTATCTTACTTTTCTTTTTAGCCCGTTTCAAAGTTCTATATTTCTTAAACTCCATGTCAAGTAGAAGATTTCTTAAACTCCATGTCAAGTAGAAGAAACCAGACAAACAAATTGAGAAGTGTGAACGTTGGCCTGGATACCACGGTTAGCAAACAAACAACCAAAAAACAAGGAACTCCATAAACATACATTATATTATAACAGAGTAAAGAGTTCTACGTTATACCTTTCCCATCTCCAAGAACACAGCAGCGCGGTTAGTAAGAAAAGAAATATCAGCATCATCCAGCTCAATTGCCTTACTATAAAGCTGAACTGCATTCTCAAAATCCTTCTTCTTATACGCCACATTACCCGCCTCCTTCTCCTTCAGCACCAACACTTTCCTCTCCTTCAACTCCTTCTCCTCCTCTGACACTTCCACTGGTTCGGGCTGAGGTACGGGTTGTGCCTTGTACCCGGCCCGTTTCTCCTCTTTCACGGGCTCACTCTCTGCCCGTCTTTTCCTCTCCGGTGAACCTCCCGGCATCTTCACACCCTCCTCTGGCGTCCTAGTATCCCATTTCATCCCTAACAAAACTCCAAACGCTTGCATTACTCTCTGATCCTTCATATAAAAATTCAAATTGTTTGGATTCTTCTGTATATCCTGCATCATTCTTACAAAATCCTGTTGTTGCAAATACGTTCGGGTCCTCGGGTCACTGGTCAACTTAGCCCACATCTCCGGCCCGGAAAATGCATCACCAAACGAACTACTCGGACCTCGACCTCTACCTCGACCCTGACCCGACTGAGCATCCGAAAGCCCGGATTTCAACATTTCATTATTAGGATCAATTTTCAAACCCTTTCTATACGCTAAAACGGCGTCGTTATAGTTATTCAAACCTAAATAAGCAGCGCCAACCCGAGAATAACCTTTAGACCAATCCGGTTTCAGTTCAACGGTTTTCTCAGCGTCAATTAAGGCTTCGGAGAATTTGTTTAAGGAAGCGTAAGCTGCTGATCGGTTAGAGTAGAGAACGTGATTGTTAGGGGAGAGATTGATTGCTTCAGTGAAGTGTCGCACGGCGTCGGTGAAGTTACCGGCTGCGAATGCAGCGTTGCCTTTGGACTTAGCTTCGTCGGCGGCGGCGGCCATTGTTGCTTTTCTCCGGAGAGTTGTTGGTTTGTTCGTTCTTGTTCTAGAGAATTCGTTGTAACTGCACAGAAAGAAGATGAATTAGGGGCTTATATAGGGAGGTGGGGGGGGTGAAGGATGGAATTCGCGGCACATTTTAGGAGTACATTTTTTTTTTTAAAAATCTACACAAAAAGCCGTATATTCAAATATTTACTTTGTTTCGATTTATATGATATATTTTTTTTTCCATATATTATGTTTAATGAACTAAAATAATAATTTAAAATTATTATAGGAATTCTAAGTTGTGTAGTATTTTATTTACTTATTTCTAGTTACGATTTATTTTTCTTAGTCTTGATATCAAATGACGTGTTGGTATTAAGAAGGAAGGTATAATATTCTGACCCGAAAAGGAAGCTATTCTGTTTGACAAAGCTACCAAGCTTTGCAGGGAACTTTGCCTAAAATGCAACAAGTCGATTTAATATGGAGTGCAGTAATGCTATCTAAGTAGCGGATTATCGTCTGTATGGCATAACAAGAAAGGTTGCTCACAAAGGAAAGGTTAGTACACCTAAACATTTCCATTGATACCAAACAATGGTTGCTAATGTGAGGAGGACTAAGAAGAGACACAATTACACGTGTTTGCAGAATGTCGATATGTATATGAAGTCAGGAGCAAATTGAGTTCCTATAAAATTTATATCAGTTCGTTTTAAGAACCAACAATGTTAAACTTGTTGTATGCAAATTAAATACTCCCTCCATTTCATCTGTGAGACAATGTACATTCATCAAGAAAAACATTCAAGAACATAATTTTTCATTATTACCTTTTTGTTTATTCCCAAGTTATTCTTAAAAATAAAAAATAGTCATTACTTAAAATGTAAAACTTCATTAAAGGGAAAAACAAATATGAAAAAAAATTAAGACATTTATCTTGAACTTTATACAATAAAAAAAGATCCAAAATTAACTTATTATGGGATAGAAGTAGTAGTACACAATTTATTTCTGACAAAGTAGAGTAGTTAAGAGCCCATAATACAAAAGCCCATAATATTGGCCCACCCAGACCCATTAGCATCTTCTTCCTCCTGCAAGATGCATTTTCACAAAAAAAAATTAAGAAAAGAAAAAAAAGCTCGCATCGCCAAACAGCACCCACCTCTGTCAAAATCTTGAAACAGTGGACGGAATCGAATTGTATGTATTCCTTTTTCTTCTTACTCTCTCTGTAATTTTACGAAACCCCTTTTTTCCCCCATTGATTTTCATTGAATATCGTCTGAGTTATACTTAATTGTTTTGAGCTGTTTTCAGAGCATTTTTAATCATATTTTTTTTAGGTGAACTTGATTTGAACTCTTAAAGTTGGATGAATAGCTTACTTTTTGTATTTTGTTAGCACCCAAAATTACAATTTTATTGATAGATTTTTAATCTAATACTCCCTCTATCCCAATTTAGTTTGATTGTGCACGGAGTTTATGGAATAAATGAGAGATTTTTTAATTTTGTGGTCTTAAACTTGCCAAGTAGAAGGTTGAAATTGGAAAACTTACTAAATATAGAAAGGTATTATTTTCTATTGCATTCTTGTAATTTGTTATCCATAGAGTTACTTTTGTTGCTATTTTCTGAATTTGCATAATCCTCTTATATGAGTGATTAGGAATATGATTACTGAACTGTTTGTAGGACAAAATATGATTTTTTGATAGGGTTTGAATCCCTGGACTCCTTGATTAACTTGTTTGGAATTAGTCAAAGTGTGCCCAAGCTAGCATGGACACCACTGTTATCGGGAAAAAGATGAATTTTTGAGAATGTACAATAGATCAAATTCATTTCTGCGATGCTCCTTTGGTCGCTTAATTGATGTAGGAATAGCATTTAATAATCAGTGTATTTGGAATGGAGTTGCTAAGCTTGTAATTTTTTTTAGGAATGTCACCTGCCCTTGTATGTGATTTTGTAGGATTCTGTTAGTTTTATAACTTGAAGGATGTTCTTTGTTTACAGTGATCCTTTAAGGATGTAGTGTAATGGGTATACATTAGAGATGTATGTGGCCAAAAACCTTTCGTCGCCCTATTCCACTTGAATATATAACTGCTTGTTCCACATAAGATGGTTTTGTTGGTTGATTACACTTTCTTTTTGTTTTCGATAAAAATTACACATTTTCATTTTATTTATATGATCTAACCAAAAAAAATAAAATTGAAGACCACTACCAGTGAGCTAAGCAAGTTCTACACCATGTTTTTACTAATAAGAACAGAATAATTTTTGACGAAACCCCTTTTAGTTCAGCTAGCTGCACTTATGAGGCCAATCCTTGGTGCTCTGTCTTGTACCAACACAGGAAGGACAAGGAGTAAGACTGTAAGAGCAATAGGATCATAAGCGAACATTCAAGCTTTGCCTTTCCAAAGAATACCTGGAAATAGAAGCTACATGCTTGAACTGATGTCGGAGAACTACTTACTATTCACTTCAGAGTGATGAACGAAGCACTGAGCACCAAGTGTTGAGCGTTAAGCTTTGCTTTCTTTTTTACAATTCTGCTTGATCTCTCCATTTATGTTTCAAAGAATGTTTCTCAATTTTTTTTTCAGAAGGAATAGTTTAGAAATAGTTTACCTAACATTGAGCTAATACATTTTAAGCTTTCTTAGCAGAATTTGCATTTCATCTTGTGTCCTCTATCTCTATTGAACTTGCTCATTTTCGTCATCTTTAGAATTAGTATTACTCATAGTGTTGCTCCATTGCTTAAAGTGCCGGAGCAATGCGAAACAATGGTTTACAATTCTAATAATGTGAAATGAAGCAATTTGGAAGAGACACAGTAAGTCATAAAGTGATCCAAGCCAGAACCAGTCACTTCTTTGAATGTGACTTTTGAGATGAAAAGAGAAGTAAAGGGAGGAGAAAAGTGTGACGTTTTACTACCTGTGTAGTAGGACTTCTGTTCGTGTACCATAAAACCGGGCCTTTTGCTACATTTATACTCAGACTCCTCTCTTTGTTGTCTACTTCTTCATCTTATTTTTCTAGCTTGCAATGGCTCTTCTATCTTTCTGTATCTCTGTATCTGCTGAGTTGCTTCTTACTTCGTTTTCTTTTATAATGACTTTTTGTTCTTTTGATGTGTGGCCCTTCTCTTCTCTGCTTCTTCTGCTTCAAGCCTTTTTTTCATTTTCTTCTTCTACTATCGATTTTTTTCAATAATTCTTTTTATTCTTTCTTATCTGCTCTTTATTTCAGTATATCTCTGATTCTTGATGTATAAGTTGATTGATAAGAAGATAAGCAATGACAATTGCAACTTAAGTTGATATTAGTGCAGTGGTCAAAGCAATCAAATATGAATATTGAACGCAGCAAATCTATTATTTTACTCGTGAAACCTACCCTTACAGAGTCCAATCTATTTGTCTTCCAGCTGTGCACTTCAGTAGTGGAAGGTTGACAATAAACTCCAATATATCATATTTATTTCTCAAGCTAGAAACAAGAATAATGCTGAATCCTGTTTGTTGTCTACCATCTATTGGTAAACAAAAATTTACAAAACGAGAGAGGTTTCCAGAACTTCTTGGAACTTTGTATCAGAAAAAGGTGTCCAAAAGCACATATGTCTTGTCATATCCGTGTATTGTGTCCTCCATGTCAAGCAAAGTTAATTTGTATGTATGAGGATAGGTACTCGATCCATTCTATTTATCCTTCCATTTTGTTTCCTGTTGCTAAAAAAGGATATGGCTGTCTTAAGTTTCCCTGCTCCAATGCATTCCCTAGCATTAGTTGTTTCATCTGCAGTTGATGCTATGTTGTTGATTTCTACACTCATGTTTGTGACTGTAGGAAACCACACTTGGGATTGAAATGAATGGTGCTTCTTCGTCCGGTGGTATAAGAGGTGCTTTGTCCTATTGTGTGCAGCAAGTACGACGTTATGATTATCATCACTACCTCTGCCTTCTTGAACTTCCAGCAAACATGCGGAAGGCTGCATTTGCGCTCCGAGCTTTCAATGTCGAGACATCCCGAGCTATGGATGTTGCATCTGATCCCAAAATTGGTCTTATGCGCTTGCTGTGGTGGCAAGAAGCTTTGGACAAGATCTATTCAAACAAGGTGATTGAGCATCCAGTAGCTCAGGCCCTCACTTCTGTGGTATCTGAACACAAGGTTAGCAAAAGTTGGCTGAAACGAGCTGTGGAAGCCCGAATAAATGATGCAAATAGAGAAAATAATGATATTCCACAAACTGTTGAAGAATTGGAGCGATATGCTGAGGACACAACATCAACTATTTTGTACTCTACACTTCAAGCAGGTGGTATTAAATGCACAGCAGCAGACCATGCTGCTTCACATATTGGTAAGGCAAGTGGACTCCTTTTGTTGCTTAAATCACTGCCATACCATGCTAGTCGAAACCATCAGTTTTCATATATACCAGCCAAGGTGGCTGAGAAACATGGATTGTTGGTTCACCAAAGTGGTCAGTCAGAGATCAAAAAGGACTCGCGTGAGGCCCTTTGTGATGCAGTTTTTGAAATGGCATCTGTAGCTAATGCACATCTGCAGAAGGCTCGACAATTGGCTGGAAGTGTGCCAGCTGAAGCTCGTCCTGTGCTTTTGCCTGCTGTGCCTGCCCAAGTCATTTTAGATTCTTTGGCTCGGGTGCAGTTTGATGTGTATGATCCACGGCTGGCACAAGGAATCTTAGGGGCTCCCCCGTTGTTGTTTCAGTTGAAACTAAAATGGTATTCATGGAGGGGCAAATACTGACATTACCCTTTTTCGTCCCTTTATAGAGTATGTGTGTTGCTAACCAGACTGACAATGAGTAATTGAATCCTTACATGAATAAATTGATGATTCTTTGGTTGATCCTGCTGGTGTTTCGTCCATACACGCAAAGAGAAGAACATTAGCTACACATGTTTGGATAAATTTCTGCAAGTACTTGGGCCGTCTGGTTTTGACTTTTGACAGTCATGTTTCACTCTGGGTTGAGGCTTTTCGAGTTTGTTTTGACCATATTGCTCGGAGTGCTCGGTTTTGTCTGAGAAACACAGCCAGAAAATCACAAGAAGCAATGGGATATTTTTTGGTAAGCCACATCTATTGACCGTTCAAGCTTTGTTTAATAGTGTCATCTCTATCATCTTCATCTTAGCTTACGAGTTTTGAACTCCGGCAAGTGTAATGTGGACTTTGAATCTAATTCGACTTCAAAGCTAGCTCATGATACGAGAATTTCCCAAGACCATACGAGGAGTCCAGTTCCACATCTCACAAACCAATGTAGGATAACTTAACCAAATGTCTTTTGTGATACATTTTGAGCAGTGGACGCCTAGCGTGGAAAGGCATGTAAGGTCCAAATATGGATAATGCATGTCAAAGTTTGGACAACCATTTCTTGTTAATCAAGAATTTTAGTAGTAAAAAACTGTATCTCTTCACTGCTTACTATTTTTTTTGGATTCCAGGCCAGTTTGTGTATCTCGACCAACTTTACGGGATACCTATTACTTCCTACCAACAACGATAATGCTTTTTTATCTCTACTGGAATTTGAACATGAGACTTGATGTTTACTATTGTGAAACATGACTACTCAAAAGTGATGATTTTTTTTTTAAACAAATGTATTTATTCTTATCATTGCCATGTAGCATACTAGTGGTGAATTATAAGAACAGAATTAGCAGACATAAAATTATATATGACGATGTTATTTCATGATTGAGTAATTGACAGCTTGAATTAGATAATCTTTATTAGTGAAAAGCATCAAAACTTTTGTTTTTTTTCCATTCTTATCTTTGTCTTTTAGCATATTGTGGTTGATAAAACAAGTATATGGTAGAGTAAATGAAAGGAAAATAGTACAATATCGATAATCAAGGGGTAGTCTAGTGATCAATGAAATAATCAAAGTCGATGGAAACAAACATACACTATGAGTATACATGCACCTAAGCTTTAGTAGACTGAATTATCGATCGGGGTGCATATATTGGTAGGAGAGATGGTTTACTCGGTGAAATAATTAAGACAAGCAATATGGTTGTAACTTGTAGGGATAGTATTACTGTTTTAGATATGAATTCAAACAAACTTAATAGCTTTTGCTTAAAACTTGTATTGTTATTTCGTTTAATTTATGATCTTACTTAGAAAGCTATTAGTATATTATCCTACTACATTTAATTTTTAACCATCATTTGTATATTACAATTATGTTAAACGACTCTTCAAATATTTATCCTAAAGATATAACAATGATTTATTTGAAGAATTTAAGAGTTCCAACTGCTAACATATACTCTTGTACAAATAAATTTTTTTATGAAAGGGCAAATACAATAACTAAATTACATCTTCTCAAACTCGACATCCTTTTTCCGAGTGTGATAAAAGAAACTAACGGACTGATCACTAAATAAATAAAATATATACAAATTCCGACATGATCAAATAGTCAAAGACGAATCTAATAAGTAGTAAATGTAATCACATACATTACTCTTCTCAAACTCGACATCCTTTTTCTGAATGCGATAAAAGAAAACTAATCACTAAATAAATATAAATATATACAAATCCGGACATGATCAAACCGTCAAAGACGAATCTAATAAATAGTGAACGTAATCACAATACATTACTTTCTTCAAATACACGCAAGTTAAAAAAGCTATACTTTTAAATTTTGGATTCGCTTCGCCTCCACGACAACTTCCACCGCCACTAGTTGGCGGCAATTCTTGATAATTCTTTACTTTCTTCTACGCACATAAATTAAAAATGTACTTTCAAATCTAAGATTCACCCCTAATCACAACTCACCAGTACTTACACCTTTCACGACAACTTCCATCGCCACCCATGACGGAAATTCATTACTTTCTTCTACACTCATAACATATTAAAACAATGTACTTCTAGATCTTAGATTCAATTCTGATCACAACTCACCAGTACTTATACCTCCAGCTCCGCCTTTCGCGACAACTCCCACCACCACCCGTGGCTGCGATTCTCGATTGAACGTTCTCGAATTCGGATATCCGACAAGGGATTTGGATCCCACCCGAATGATTGAACCCATAAACCATTTCAGCCTCTCTCAACAAATCAACAAACAAAGGATGATTAAAGTAAATCACAGGCACTAAAACTCTACATGCAACATCTTCTTTTTCACCAACATACACAGCCAAATGACCCTTTGGTATTTGGTTCTGATCCATCAATTCTGACCCGACCCGAATATAACCCGACCCGGGTTTCACAAAATTTACACTTTTAACCCCATGCTTCAACAAATTTCCAAAATTACATAGCTTTGAAATTGCTTTTGTTGCACAATTGGAAGATCCCAAACGTTTGTAGCTGATTTTTCCCTTTTTTCTCCGATGAATAAACAATTTGAAAACTCTCACAAGTCTCCTTCCAAGCCTAAATCCTCTAACTTTCATCATTTTTTTTCGATAATCGAATTGATAAATAAACTATAAGTGTTTGTTACTGTGTCTCAGTATGAGAACTGACGCTTTTTAACTCTCTATGAAGATTTTTGCCCGGAGATCAAAAGAACTAACAAAAAAAAGGTATTTGTTGAATTCTTGAAATTGGCTATAATGTCATAGAGGATTTCAAGAACTTGTAACTGACATTGCTAGGGGTGATTTTTGGTCATATTTTGAAAATTGAAATGGAGTTTATAATATTGCTAAAACTAGTGTTGTTTGTTTGTGTTTTTGATTGTTGGGATAGTTTGGCTTTTTTGTAGAGTACAAATGATGATGACAAAGACCAACACTAACTATAAATGGGACAAAAAAGTACAGCAAGTACTTAGAGAATCATTATAATAAACTTTGATTTGTTTTGAATTGAGACGTAATTACAGTTGTCTGAGAGATAATTCAAACAAAAGAAAATAGTAATTACTAAAGAATATAATGTAGTGTATGAACTTGTTCTTTTCATAATCAGAATTCTCGGGTTGAGTTCTGGGTACGGAAGATTTCTTGATAGGGAACGCTTCTTTTCGAATGGGATTGTATGCGATACGAATCTGAATTAATCAAACTTCAATACAAATATTGAATATCGAATAAGAAATCATATATATATATATATATATATATAAGGGGTGGGGTGGGGTTGGGGGAGTAGTGTTTAGCACAAACAAGGTGAGACTTGATCAAAATTGTTTGACTTTTGAGTTTTTATGTTACTTATATAAGGAAAAATAAAATAATATGGATACAATCAATGCTTTTTAGACTTCTTAAAAATACTGTCACATATGTGTCAATTGAATCCTTTTGAAATAGTACATTTTGAAGAATTCAATATATGTGCATTATTTTTAGAGAATACGAACAATATAAAAAATAATTACTAGTAATTTCTTTGATGTCAATCAAAATCTATACGAAATATCATATGTAGTGTGACTCAAGTCCAGATCGAATGAATTATTTTTATAACATTACAACCCTCTCTTTCTCTCTTGTTTAACTCAAGTTGTTCTATTTATATGACAGTTAAAATAACTTGTTTCAAGAAGATTATACCTCCATTAGTATATGTAACGTTCAAAAATTTTCTGATTAATAAAAGTAAAAACAATTTAGAATCATACTTACTATATCTAGTAATACTGATGAATTTAATTCCCACCTTCCTCATTTTTTAATTAAAATAATAATAAAGAGAAATATGTGGAACAAAAAAAGGGAAGTCAGATAAATTGAAGTTGTGAAATCTGGCTATATGGAGTTTCAAGGGTCAGTAATTTTAAAAATAAATAAATTGAAAATGGTATTTATGGTTTTATTTATTGTGTTTGATTTTGGTGTTTGAATAAAAATAACACTCTATATAAAGTTGTTATTTATTTTTTCTAAATTACTATATGGGGACATTTTCTTTTATTGGACTTTTAAAAAAAAATTGAATATGACTAATTCTTATAACAGAAAAGTTGGAATAATTTTTTTAAATAATGTGAGTGGGAATTTTTTTATGTTTTATTAAAAAAAAAATGCCACGTAGGCCCATTAGACGTTTTATTTAGGATATACTTCAAGTGGTACGGAACTTTTAATATATTTTTTTAACTTATTTGTCCTTTTCAATTTCTTGGTACGAATTTTGCCAACTTTGTACGATTTTTTTTTTTCATTAAGCTGTGGACAGGGGCGGAGCCAGCCCTCTGTTAGGGGTTCATCCGAACCCTATTCAGCGAAAAATATTATTATTTATATATGATTGAAATTATTTTCTTAGATATATATAGTAGATGTCGAACTCCTCAGTTAGTTCGTGTGTTTAGTTCTTCAAATTTTGAACCCCCTTATTAAAAATTCTAGTCCCGCCACTGGCTATGGATACATTTGTTATAGTGATATACTCAATCATATTAGTAATTTTGGTTTATATTTTTTATGAACTAATGAAATTGCAAGAATTATCATTTAGATAAGTTAGTTTTTAATTTTTGTTCTTCAACAATCAAATTTATATCTAGTACAATATATGTTCCTTCAAGGAGAAAAGTCATGTGAGGCATAGCTTGTGGAAATTATAATGCCAGAAATTATAAAAATGGGATCATTTGCACTTTTGCCCTTATTTTGTGCTAATTTTTAATTTTTGTGTTCAAGATAAATAACTTTCTGATAACGCGAGTGTATATATATATATATATACCAAAAGTTAATTCAAATTTAGATATTCTTTAATTTCTTGATTATAATAACTCTTAATTATTTAAATTTGTGTCGGTTTGCTTCACGGGTGTCATTAGCAAAGGATAATTATTCATTTTGTCGCATGTATAATTATTTGTTGTCTACTAGAAAATGGTATACTTAAAATGTATAATTTGCCTATTTTATGAATTTGAATTTGTTACTTGACGGAGTTATCCTAATCGGACTGTTCTGATCGGATTAAGTATTAATTAACATTACAATCCATTAGGTAAGAAGTTTCCATCAATTAATTAACAAGCTAATTAATTAATAAGTTGATTTTAGAGGGGAATCAATGTAAAAAATTGATTCTAAGTTGACCTTGTCTAGAATCTTTTATTATTTATTGTAAAAAAAAGATTTATTTTTTAATTTTTTTTTTAGACGTTTGATAATATTTCTTAACATGTAAATTGATAAATTTAAGACGTTATACGATGTTTAAAGAAATATCAACTTGTGTACTTGCCCCTTCTTTGGCTATTCTTTAAATATCAACCTCCATAGTTTAAAAAATTAACCACAGTCAATATAAAAACTTATGAAAGTGGATATTTTTCAAAAAAATAATATCTAAAAATGGATAATGGATGCTATTTTTATCTTCTTAAGTTAAAGGCTTAAGCCAATCGAAAGAATTTGTATTTTTGTAAGTATTTTAGATAATTCTAGGGCTATTTTTTAAATAATGGTGCTTTAAAGTGATTATTTTTGTAACTCTACTTAGGCTTGTGGCTTAAGCCCACACTAGTCTAGTTCTACTAACCGGCCCACTTATGTAGCCCAAGACCAATCCATTTAGGTACAACTGAGATAATAGAAATTTTTGGGAAATTTTATTCAAATTTCATAGTATTCGGAGCTAATTACATCCTACATCTACTCTTTCAAAATTACAAAATTCCTTAAATTTGGTGGAATCCGAATACATCCAAAAACGTCCCGATACATCACGTTTCAGTTTCAAATATATCGCTCAACGTCCCTATACATCACGACTAGATTTCGGAAACATCACTCAATATTCCGATACATCGCGTGTAGTGATGTATCCGACCGATACATTGCGTAAAGTAATGTATTACGTCCCAATACATCGCGTATATAGTGATGTATCTGAGAATAGGAGAGAGTAGAGATTTTTGTAATTTTATCGAATGGTAGGGAAATTTAGAAAATATGATAAAATAAGTTGTGTATTTAGGTAATTTAAATTTTTGTCGGTTATCTCTTTTTGGAACAAATATTTAATAGATCATCAATTATTATTTCTCTCCTACTATATGAATCTATTAGAACACTATATAAAAAAATTATTTTTAAGCAAACGAAATTCGAAAAGTCCTATAAAAATATATTAAATCATGATCTAAATTTTATAAATATTAGACGATAATATATATATTCTTAATTAGATATTTTGAACATGGCTAGATTTAAATTGAAAAATGATATTTGAAATACATATCTTATGGTTATGCCGTTATGGGCAAGTTTTCATCTATTTGTTTGAGAAATTTTCTTTTTATCTCCCCAAAAAAATGGATTCAAAAGTATTTGATTTAGGGTTTTTTATTTGTGTGAGACAGAAAAAACCTCACACAACTAGAGTTTAGTTATATGAAACACGTATAAAATTTATCGTGAATAATAAACTTCATTAAATCGCTAATATTTTTTCTCCATCAATTGTCAAGTATTCATTTTGAAGTTAATTAATAAACTATTTCATACTTCAGAATAGAATGTAAAACCTCTTAGAGGTCGTTTGGCGTGAGGGAGAAGAATAAATAGTCCTGGGATAAAAATTTGGTGCCTTGTTTGGGATAACTTATCCCACCATTTATATCATAGCAATGAAATCATGAGACAAGTTATCTCATATACATGGTGGGATAAGTTAACCCAGGATAATTAATCATAGGATAACTTGTTCCGACCAAATGAGCCCTTATAAGGGGACTATTCATTTTCTCATCAACTCAATCAATTAGTTACTCCCTCCGTCCCTATTTACTTGTCCATATTTCATTTTTTAGTTGTCCCTATTTAGTTGTCCATTTTGACAAATCAAGAAAGGACAACAATTTTTTTCCTATTATACCCTTATTTACACTTCTTGAAAATTGTAAAAGTGTATGTTGTTTCCCTCCAATTTATTTCACTTGAATTCAAATAAGTGGTTGTAATTTTGAAGTGAAAAAGTTGTCATAAGGGTAAAATTGTAACTTCACTGTGCTAATCATTGTTGCCTTAATCTGTGTGTCATTTCTAAAGTGGACAACTAAAAAGGGACGGAGAGAGTAGCTTTTGGCTGATGTCTTGTCCCTCTCGACTCCAAGATCCAAATTTTGTTTCTATTTTCATCAAATAGTAGTAATAAAGTCAACAAACATTATTGCCTCTTTGTACTTTTTTCTTCATCTTATCTCTATGTAAATTTTGGTTATATTTGAAAGGATTTTTCAGCAGCCATTATAGACCTTTTTTATGATCAATTTGTCTCTATCTCTTTTTCCAATGTTGTTTTAATGTCATAGGCAAAATATAGGGAATGAGTCTAATACTGCAAAAAAGATTTCATTTTGGATCTTGTAGTTGTTAGAGTTTCTTGGCTAATTATGCAAACAAATGGTGTGTAATGAGTGCATTGGTTGGAGATATATATGTAATTTCTTGGTATCAAAGAGTGTCATATCATCGAGTCTATATTT